GTGAAAAAAAGAAACTAAATATAAAAACAAAAAAAAAATAAATATAATTGATGTTTTAGTTGGAATATTAATCCTTTTTTTCAAAAAAAGAAGCCATTGTATTCTGCCCTTGGACAAAAATCATGTTCTCTGCTGCTAAGGGTGTATATAGAGCCATAACTTAAACTATTAATCTTTTAAAAGCATGATATAAAAAGGCTGAGTTTTATATATTGGGATATCCGAATCTCATTTTTCACATAAAAAAATTTATTTTAGACCTTTAAAAATAAAATTTCATTTTCGGGAGATGAGACTTAATTCGGCAGATTTTCGTTTCGGGGATACCCTCTGATTTATTGATCTGGTAATTTATATTTACTTGACCCCCCCACTGAAAAAGGATGTGACACAAGAGATCTTTTTTAAATTGGGGAAATATGAATGTAAACAATTTCATTAACATTTTTGGTAAAATGATTGGTCTTAGATGGTCCCCATATCCAAGCTGGTCTGAGCTGGTTTTTAGTCCTATTTTTATATCTTACCAGCCCAAGGGACGAGCCCTCAACAATATAATTAAAATAAAATAGTCGAATATTGTTGATAGAACCTTTTTTAATCTTAGGTGACGATATTTTTGTCAATGACGTAAACGTGATTTAATAGATAATATTTTTAAAAGTTTCAGTTATAATCATTCCTTCATGAATTAGATAAAAGTTTGATGTTAAAGGGATAGCAACTCTTTCTCTTTGTGTTTTGTTATTAATCAATGTTAGGAAGAAATTATTTATCATTAAATTAGAATATGGCATTGTGCAAGAAATCCTTGTCAAGGTAGTAAAAGAATGCAGGAAGAAAGGACTATTAACTTTAAGAAAACAATATACAGGGTGTCCATAAAGTTCGTGTTCACTTTAAAAAATTTATAACTTTATTTGTATTTGCGACAGAAATAATTTGTAAAAAGGATTAGAAAGAAATAAATCTATATCTTTTAAGGTTTTATTGAAATTTTACTTAAGTTTCCACATGTCCTCCATCATTAGCAATACAAGGGGTAATACGATTTTACAGTTCACGGAAAACATTTGCCAACTGATTTACAGTATTGCCTGAAATCACATTAGTTATTTTAGCTATACTTAAAACTAGGTACATTAAACTTTATAACATTTTTTTACAGATTGTTCCTATCGCAAATACAAATAAAGTTATAAAATTTTTAAAGTGCACACGAACTCTATGGACACCCTGTATATAAAATTATATTAATAGATATTAAATGCGGTATCAGGTCCGAACTGGAAACATTAGAATGAAGCAGGTAATGAAATTTAAGAATATGAGTCGTGTCATCAAAGACGAAGGAAATACAGAAATAGGAGGGTGCTTTGGAATAACGAAAGAAGTCTTTCAGAAGCTAAACAAAATATTGAAATAAAGGAAGATTTCGTCAGAAACAAAGAAAAGAACACTGATTTTCTATGTAACATCAATCATTCTATATGGGAGTGAATGTTGGACAATTTCTTCACAGATGAGGAGTAAATCTGAGGCAACAGAAATATGGTTCTACAGAAGGATGCTGAGAATGCCATAGACAAAACATGTGAGAAAGGACATGTGAAAAAGGACTCTTGTACTTAGAATCAGAAAGAACTGAAATTTCCGGGACACATAATACAAGGTGATAGAATGAAGAGCGTACAATCTTCCGAGCGAATTTGTGTAAATAGACGGCAGACTATGGTATTTGAGATATAGATATTTCGTTTGAAATTATATATGCAGAGGATAGAAAGCTTTGGAGAGCCAACATATATCACTTACGTCCTGAAATTTTATCATACATAAAAAAGAGAATGATAGTGTGGGTGCATTCGTGAGTGGTGTGTGTGTGTGTGTGCGTGTGTGTGTGTGTGTGTGTGTGTGTGCGTGTGTACACGTGTAACATAAACATGTATTGTGTGTTTTATACGTGTGTGTGTGTGTGAGTGTGTGATAGAGCGTCCGTGTGTATGCGTACGTGTGTTAACACGCTCGTGCGCGCGCGTGTGTGTGTATGTCTTTTCAAGCGATAGCGAAAGAAAGAACGATACAAATAAGAAATACCTCTTGACTGTTATTATATCGGCGGTTCAGTATAGACGGGATTATCAGTCAGTTTCGCTTCTCCTGTCGACGACCTTTGCATACCAGCTTCCATGTCGACAACCTCACACTCTGCCTCTAGCTGAGTGCGAGTTTGGGGGCCCCTGATATCCTGACCAACACCGCTATTTTGGGTCGCTCTTCGTTGAAAAAGCATATGTTGGAACAACCCTCGACTCGACTTTGCTTCCCGAAATGCAAGGAACGTTCTTAAGCGGGGAATCCACACGAATAATTTCTTTTTCTGTTTGAATCCTGACCTGTCGGCTATCTGGTAACAAGGGGTTAATTGAAATGGAGTTAGCCGAGGATGGTAAGTAGTCCTGTGCGGTTGGGCGTGTAGTTTTCCCTATCGGGGTAGGGTTATGTGATGAGCATGACTGCGTGGATTTACCTTGTGGCACACAAAATGGTGATACGTTGGGCGGATGATCTATTAATATGGTTTCCAGCTGGGCAGTGGCTCCGTCTTTTAAACGACGTGATCTCGCTTGCTGAAACAAAAAAAAGTTTCACTGATTAATGTTTGCGGCAGTGTCGTGCCTGCTGTATCAAAGATACGAACAGACTCCCATCTTGAATCACCTCCTGCTATTTTCGATACAGCTACAGGCTTCACAGTTCTTTGCCGCTGTCCAGATAATAGCTTCGATGAATCCAATTTTGTTATATTTTTTTTCCCAAAATGTTTGAGGCTTTTTTTAATTGTGGATATAAACGCTTTTTTAATATGCCTTTTTAATATTTTGCTCGCAAGAAAAGATCTGAATGGATCTATCCACTTGTTCCCACTGTGCTGACCGCTTTGGAATTGACTTCTTTAGAACGTTTTTATAATACGAGTTTCAAAATCTCGTTTAATCAATAATTATAGCATATTATATTTATCTATATTCATTGTTTCCCATCTCGAAGAGCGCTGAGGAACGTTCAGCTTCGTGTTTTTTTCCGCGGAGACGACGTCTTTCTGTTTGGAGCGTTGCGGCGCCGGTAGTTTGGAATGTTTGCTTCCGGCCATCACCTCCCAGCGAGATTTGTTGAAATTGCGGTAACCTTCCCGGTGGGCAGTAGAATCAGAGTAGCAATGTCGAAAAGTCTCGTCTATTAGATTATTGTTTCGCCGCCCTGACCGACTTAGGCGACACATTGGCAGTATCATATCCACTTGCTTGCTGTTCCGTCTTAGTGGACGGTCAGCTACATATTGCGATGAAACAGCATCTCCGTAGTTACCGATTCGTTTGGAGCGGCGCTCAAAATTAAACTCTGATATGTTTCTATCGATCAAGTGACTGTTACGTCTAACGGGGCTTTCGTAAATAACGTCTTGAACGTTTCTGTCTCTCTGTCGGCTATTACGTCTGCATGATTGTTCATTGTTAGCTTCCTGGGAAAATCTATCAGGTTGATAACAGTTACGTCTGGTAGAGTGCTCACTATTGACCCCCTGTGCGCCTTTATCCATCTGGTAGCTGTTATATTTGGAGGCACACTCCAGATTTGATTCCTGTATATTTCGCTCTAACTGATGACTGTTTCGCATGGAGAAGAGCTCATAATTGATTTCTTGGATATTTTGAGCCATCTGACTGCTGTTTTGTTTAGATGAGCGCTCGCAGTTCACCTCTTGATTAAACTGATGCATACTACGTCTTGGCATGAATCCAAATCAATTTCTAATTTTTTTTGAAGACTCGATTTGGGGTTGATGTGTATTTTAAGTCAAAGAAAAAGACGGAAAAAAAGAGAGGTTAACTGTTTAGTTATGTCGTCCGTTCTCTTGTGTTGCCGTTATTATGATTAAAATCTTAAATTGGTTGAAAAAAAACATATTTTTAAAGTGATTCCAGGGCCGGTTATATTTTTGTGCGTTTAGTAAGCGGATCGTGTCATTAATTTGTGGTTGGTCTCGTCTCGGGGGAAGATGGCTGTTCGATATTTCCGGTGACTTGTTTCCGCTTCTTATTATTCATGGGCGTCCCGTCTACAACAAGATGTTTCGGATAACAGTCGATATAATCTTTTGCCGCTAAATCGGAAAATTTTCTTTCTATAAAATATTGATAGAAATTGAGGATCCATGACCCGGTCCTGTTATAAAGGTCATTGCCTTAGTCCCGTCCTCGACGAAAATTTTCCTTGGACCGACTTTCCTTTTGCTGCAGAAACTTTTACACAAAGATCCATATACATAGTTCGCCATTGGTTAATTTCTTCTTCAATCTCATGACTTAGTGAAGATTTCACAGGATCCGGCCCTAAGCTGAGGTCTTTTAGCTGGCTACTGAGAGGCTTCATGTTTATATATATATATATATATATATATATATATATTTTATACCGGGGAAAATTTTTGGAAAATTCCCTCGTGATCTACATACATATACTATAAAGTTCGCTACAAGATTAATGTCAGTTATTCTAAAGAACACATCGAAACATGAAACAGCCACTGTTCATTCATATGTCCACATTGTATATATCTATAAACATCTTTTTTTCGGTAAATCGGTCCCTGTTGTATAAATCCGCCGATTCTTTGAAATTCTTTAATGGCGTCGTCCATTTATTTTGTTGTCTTCGAAAGTCAACAAAAACAAGAAATATTTATTGGTATTTCGAACTGTTTTCCAGTTTGCCATTTAGGATTTTAATCCAATGGACCAATATTCCCGGTCAGGTCGATTTTGAATTATTTTGTAATGTCTAATGGAAAGTAAATTCTCCAATTATATTTATTGGTTATCTCAATATTGATGAGTCCATTATGATGAAAAATTTAAAGCAACTTATCTCTTTGTTCATCATTCTTGTGGAATTAATATCAATATTTTGATTATTACGCTGAAATTAGCTAAGTATATTCAGCTGATTATAAAACAAGACTTTTGGGCCGAGCAAGAAAAAGAGGAAAGAAAGAAGAGTTGTTGCAAAAGAATATTTGAATAAAAGAAAAGAAAGCTCTCGAAGAAAGAAGAAGAAAAAAAAGAAAAAAACAAAGAAACAAAGATAGGAACAGGTTTTCTAAAGAAAGAAAGAAAGACATGGGGAAAATAATTGAAAAAAAAGAGAAAAAGAAAAAAAAGAAAAGAAAGAAAGAAAAAAAGAAAGAAAGAAAGAGAGAAATGGGGAAAAGAAAATAATTGAAAAATATCCCAAAGAAAGAAAAAAAAAGAAAGAAATGGGAAATAGAAAGAAAATAAAGAAAGAAAGAAAGAAAAAAAGAAAAAAAAGAAAAGAAAAAAGAAAGAAAGAAAGAAAGAAATGGGGAAAATAACTGAGAAAGAAAGAAAAAAAGAAAGACATGGAGAAAATAATTGAAAATAACACAAGTGAAGAAAGAAAGAAAGAAAAAAGAAAGAAAGAAAGAAAGAAAGAAAGAAAGAAAGAAAGAAAGAGAGAAATGTGGAAAATAATTGCGAATATCCCAAAGAAAGAAAAAAAGAAAGAAATGGAGAAAATAATTGAAAATAACACAAAGAAAGAAAGAAAGAAAGAAAAGTGAGAGAGAGAGAGAGAGAGAGAGAGAGAGAAATGGGGAAAATAATTATGAATAAATAAAAAAAGAAAAAAAGAAAGAAAGAAAGAAAGAAAGACATGGAGAAAATAATTGAAAATAACACAAAGAAAGAAAGAAAGAAAGAAAGAAAGAAAGAAAGAAAGAAAGAAAGAAATAGTGAGAGAGAGAGAGAGAGAGAGAGAGAGAAATAGGGGAAAATAATTGCGAATATCCCAAAGAAAGAAAAAAGAAAGAAATGGAGAAAATAATTGAAAATAATTGAAAATAACACAAAGAAAGAAAGAAAGAAAGAAAGAAAGAAAGAAAGACACGGGGAAAATAACTGAGAATAATTCAAAGAAAGAAAGAAAGAGTGACAGAAACAGAGAAATGAGAAAAATAAATGAAAATAATGAAAGAAAAGAAGGTTTGAACAGAAGAAAGGAACGAAGGAACGAAGGAAATATAAATGTAAAGAAGGAAAAAAGAAAGCGTTTGATTGGAATTAGTAAATCTAATGGTCTTTTTAGAGAGTGTGAGAAGGAAAGTAAAGTTTTGAATCAAAAGAAAGAAAGAAAGAAAGAAAATTAAGAATAATTTATATATAGAAAGTTTAAGAATAAAAAAATGATCATTTGAAAAGAAGTAATGGAAAATAAATGAAAAAAGTAAGAGAGAAATGGTAAAAATAATAATTCTTCATCTACCGTCCGGTTCACTCTCCTCCTCGGTCTTTTAAACAGAAGTAAATGTTAATCCCTTTTCTCCTGTTTAGGATTGTATTTTCGGGTCCTTGTAAAGACTTTTCATTCTTTTTCAGTCCACTGCGTCTTAGTCGCATTATCGCCTTGTACGGTGTGAAATGATGAATAGAAATATACTAAGTCCCCTTACTATCTCAACTTTATTTCTGCAATCCATTTACACTAGTTCTTTATTTAGGTTATTCGCTATTCCCTTTTGTCCTTCACACTATCAATATTTAAAAAGTGTCAAATTCTCCAAGGAGGAGACATGAGACAACATGTGATTCTACAGAAGAACTGGGAAAAGGAATGGATCTATGTGGGGAATAGGATTTTTTAAATGAAGTGGAAGCAAAATGGACACTTAGAATCAGAAAAAGATAGTTGAAATTTCTGGGACAAATAATGAAGAAAGTTTTTGGAAAATGTATCTAAATATATATATATATATATATATATATATATATATATATATATAAAGAGAGAGAGAGAGAGAGGAGAAACAAATTACAGTAAAAATTGTAAAATGTGGAAATAATATTGCACATCTCTTCTTTTGATTTTTGTCAAGAATCTCATTATTTTAATTCGGATATGGTTGATGATTTAAAATATTTACAATTTTAAATTGTAACTTGATTTTCTTTATATATATATATATATATATATATATATATATATATATATATAAAAGAAGAGAGTGTTTAAATTCCTCGTAGTGAGACAGTGTATGCATGGAGAGGGGAATATATATATACATGGATGCTGACAAAAACACGAAAATGGAAATTGATCTAAGAACACACGGGGGTCATTAAAAGATAAGAATGCCGATAACTCTTTCACAATTTATCGGACCAATCTTAATTGCTTTATAACCCTTCACGCAGAACTTTTCACTGCCAGTTCAAGAAAGACATTTGAAAAAAAAATGTGGAACAGGACCGAAGGTATGGAGCACCCAGTGAGGACCGAACTCTCTACTCTGCAAGACAAACCTGCTAAGCATTAGACTACGTCTAAGGGTTCTAAATGATTTTCTCAGCGTAGCTAAGATGTGGCACAAGTTGACGACCAAATGAAAATCGAACTCACTAATTAGTCGTAATTGATCTAGCGATACAAGCTTGTTAACCATCACACCATGTCGAAGTGCCCAGTGGTGATTTTCTAAGAGTAGCTCAGAGATAGCATAAAGCCGAAAGCATGGGGCACCCAGTGATGGGCGAACTCATTATTCGGTCGCAATTAATCTTGCGAGACAAACATCACGTCAAAGTGCCCAATTGTGGGGCATATATCGCCAATGTAATAATTTAATGTTGCCTTTTTATTATTGATGATGCAGAGGATAAATAATATATACAATATGGCATAATATTTAATGATGATACATTAATATAATAATAATAAATATATATATATATATATATATATATATATATATATATATATATATATATATATTAATACATTTTTATGTTTATACATTCTTTTTTATAGATACAAATATTTAAGTAAATGCTTTGTTTTATGATAAACAGTATTAATAACATTTACCGGCCTGAATGTCCTGAATCTCTCACGTACGTTCATGGAAGAGTGAAGTTTAAAAACAGTAAAATCGACCTTGCTAATCGAACGATTCTCCGTCGCTCGAACGTTTAAGACATATCAGGGTAAATGACAGTTCCGTATAGGATACAGGTTCGATTCCTGTCGGAGGACGCGTATTTTCTTTGACAGTTTCTCGGACATTCATGCCGGTAAATGTTATAAATACTGTTAATTTCAATGCGTGATAGGGTCTTGCAAATATACTAATATAATCTGGAATTTTTATCATATTAAGGATTGGAAGCCATTTTTTGAAAAATTAAAAGTTTTATTATTTAGCATACAAAATATTCCCACTGTTTAAAAAACAATTTCATAATTATTTAATAGAAATGTGATATTGTTTTTTGCATATCTTTTCTTGAAGTTTTTTCATTCTGGTAATGCATAATGTTTAATAGTAGCACTGTCAATACAAACACAGTAAGGAGGGCTTCAACTGCTCAGAGGTTTTAATCGCAAGAATAAAGTTTATTCATAAACTATCCGAATATCTTTTCGAATGGACAAGAATCCAGTATCCAGTTCGCCCCGCGTTTGTGAGAATTATAAACAAATCACAAGACTAAACGTTTCAAAAAGTTGGAATTTAGCTCCAGAAAGAAATGTTTACGCATGGCCAGTTGCATGTTGCATGCTCAAGAGTAAGAAATTTATTTTTCGCTGTTAAAAAGGAAAAAAGATTCTTAAAATAATATTCTTTAACATTCATGTAGTCCCAAAAAAATTAAATTAAATTAAAGAAATTATTAAACCGCGAAGTCGGGTTTTTGTGAAAGTGTTTTTTCCAAACAAATCAGCTTTTTTAGATTTCATCGATTGGTATGCGAAATTGAACGAAACGTAGAATTTGTAAATTTCGACCAAAATGTTAGCGATAACTTCAACAATACTAAATACTGTGAGGATTTTAACACAAGTCGTCATCGTGTTGCAAAAACTTCTAATAAATATGTATGTAGGGTTGCGAAGTTCTTTGGTGACATTTGTATGAATTTAGTAAAAGACGAAGAAATCATGAGATAAGAGCTTTATTTCAGAAAACATTGGCATCAATAATCTTGGAACACTTCTAAATGTATCTACTCAATGACTCCGCCATTAGCACTGATGACTGCTTCAGTACGATGTCTGAAATATTGGCATGTCCGAATCAGATGATCTTTATCTATTTGCACATTGTGCTATTTATGGTGGATTTCAGAGATCTTATAGTGTTACTGATTGATTTTCCTTTCGACTGCGCCCCATACATAGTTCAACGGACTGAGGTTGTGTTGAAGCTGGAAGGCCATATGTTTAGGGATGATGTGATCATGGGAATTGTATCCCATCCATTCTTAGGGGTTAGGGAGGCATTATGAGATTTAGTGCAAAAGTCTTGTTAGGTTTTTTCTTTTGCTCAAATTTTTATCCACGGCCCCACAACCCTATCCAGCACCTCTTTCAGTCAGCAGTCTTGACCCTTAAGCCCTGGGAACATCATGGCTGCCTCTTTGCACTCAACTCCCAGAAGCATTACGGTTGCTGGAAACTTCGTGTACATGATCGTTATGGGTCTCTACATAACCGTCTGTCTAATCTTTGGGTACTGATCATTTTTTCTCATCAGAGAAACGCCAAAGAATTCTCGGCTCTTGATGGTATAAGTTACTCAAAAATCCCTTTGCGAAAAAGATAGTTATATTTTGTCTTTGCAAAACACTAATTGGCTCCACCTAGTAACATAAGACTTCTTTCGAAGATCCTCATACACAATGATTCCGAAAAAGCCTTAAAAACTTCAGCTCCTTAGCAAGTGGTTTTCTGGAGTTCTTATCGATCATTTATAAACTTTCATACAAACTTGGTAAAATTCTGATGGTTTTGGAACCTTATAATGTGTTACGTTTGCCTACTGCCTCTAGAATACCCATCAGAGGCTTCCAGCTGTTTGCGAACTTTGAAAACAAACGCCCGTGAAGCTTTCAGAAAGCAAGCAATCTCTAAACCCCTATACTCTTCCTTTAAGACAACGATTACAGCGTGCCTTTGCATTGGCTGAACGAGTTTTATGTTTGTTATCAGTTATCTGAAAAGAAACAATAACAAAACATGTTATAAAAATTAGCGCAATTGAAAGACGTGTCCTCAAAGACATGGGCAACCCTATAAATTCTGGTACGTCTCCCGATTATCTTAAAATATCTCGCTGTACTAATAATTGCATTGTTATTAATATTTGCTTTTTAATTTCATATATATATATATATATATAGATAGATAGATAGATAGATAGATCGTCATGTGTCGTAAGAGAGATATAACCTCAAAAGAGAAATAAAATATTTCATCAAAGTTATTGAGTGATTCAACACAATGTTGGAAATTGCGAAAAGTTGGTCAGAAAACAATGAAAAAAAATATTTTAAACATTGCTAAGATAATAGGAAAATTAACTCTAAGAATGCCATTAACAATGATTAAACTCTATATATTATAGCCTTATCCTATCAGTAATACTTTTTTATAAGCGTTTCACTCCAAGCAAGGCGGGAAGCCACTAGCACACAAGGGGTTACAGAGAGTTGGAGCGAGAGCAAATAGGAGTGATAGAGGAAAGGATGAAGAGAAGGATAGGGGATAGATCAGGGCATCTGGAGACGTCGATTGACATTACATTTGAATAGTTGGAGATTATAGCTATCAGGGAAACAGGAAGAGGGGAGGGAGTTCCACAGGCGAGAGGTGCGAGACATGAAGCTATTGGAGTAGAAGAGACGGCTACATTTAACAGTTTCGACAGTGAAAGGGTGTGAGCGAGATGCCAGCCTAGTAGAACGCTTAAATTCATGAAGTCTGGGAACCAGCGAAAGCAGCTCCTTGGAGCAGTTACCATGAAAGTATTTGTAAAAAAAAAAAAAGACAGAGGGAGGACGACGGCACGTCTGTGAGAGAGCGACTGCAGACGAGATGCCAGATCAGGGCCAATTACATTGCATATCCGTCTCTGGATCTTATCAAGAACCTTGAGACAAATTAAAGGGGCACCAGACCATATATGGCAGCAATACTCCATGCAAGGGCGAATGGTTGATTTGTAGATTTGAAGGATCGACTCCAGAGAAAAAAAATTCCTGGAGCGGCACAGTGAGCCACTTTCCTTCCGGTGGAAGAAGCTAAATATAACCAAAAATCTTAATTAATTATCTCAGGTCATTTAGACATTGAAGACCGAGCAGGATGTTTATCATAGGATGCCCCTTTTGCTAATCGACATTACAAGTACAGAAAAATGGAACTCTGGCTGCAATTATTTTAGGTTGACAATTTTGTTTTTATTTCCATTTCAATAAAACTATCGAAAAAAAAAATCATTTGCAATGCAGTAATAAAAACATAAATACATTTTTCTCAAAAATAATTTCTGTACATTTTACCCTGATTTTCAATGCATTTTTATAGAAAAATCGTTAAATTTCATGATTATTTAAATTATGTCATATCGTGTATGATTTTTTGTCAGTCTATTACTTGTAAAAATTTATGAGAACTTATAAACCTTTTCTTCCTGATTTTGGAATGTTTATTAAAAACCATTAGCAATTCATTAAGAATTATGAAAATAACAGTCCTATTAATAGATATATATATATAAAAACCGATTGAAAATCATTACATTTTTTTTCTCCATGATTTGAAACAACCAGGATCTTGAAAATAAAACTATAATTGATTTCTGAAGGATCAACAAAAAATGAACACAAAGATAAATAGAAAAAGCGATTGCTACGAATAACTTCTTGAAACAAAAGACTAGAACATTATTTCTATAGACAAACAAAAGATATGAATATAAAACATCTTTTTATGAACAATGCAAAATGAAACACTCTAAATATAAAACAACAATTTCTTTACAAAAATAAAATAAAAAAAAAAAGGTAAAAAAATATTCAGTTATATAAAAAAAAATCCAATTTTTGTTATTCAATGTTTATCTGGGAAGTTTTTTTTTTTAAATTTTTTATTTGATTAAAGGCGTTTGCAACTAGATTTGAATTTTTGAAAGGACCCAAAAAGTCGCCAAAAGTTCAATTTGAAAATTTTTTTTTTTAGTTTATTTTCAAAGGAAAAAAAAGGAACAGGATATATTTGACATCCATTAGATACAAATCAAGTTAATGGAAATAGAACAATATTTGTTTTGAAATAAATAAAGGGTTAAGTTCGACATTTTTTTCATTTAAATATATTAATACAACGACCGAAGCATTTAATAAACATGGCGACAAAGATGAGGACAAAATCCGATTTAATCTAATTAATGTACATAAGATTCATCTATAGATATATAGAAAGATTTGAAAAGGCTGAAACGTTGTAATAAATTTGGCGACAAAAATGATGATAATAGTCCGAAAAAATGAAAATCATGTACATATTTACGAAATCTAGGAATATAAATAAAATCATTTTTAAAAATTTTTTGATTGATTGTTTCGTTTTCTAATTAATTTTATCCATAAATTCAAACCCAAATCAAAGTTTGCAGTTTGAATAATCGGTAATTATGATCTAATTAAATTTTATGTAATTTCTTAACAATTTTTGGTGATTTAAAAGGAACCGGGGTTTTCAACGTGATATATATGTTTATAAACCTTACTTTTGGGTGTTTAGGTAAATATTGTAATATTGTCAAATCGAAACGAGATAAAGTGATTGGACAATTTTTAATTTATTTATTTTTTGGTGTGGGCAAAACCCATTGATTTTTGTAAAATTCTTTACAATTTATTTAAACTTTTTGAAATCTGCATGTTCAACAAATATCCAGTGGGTTTAAAAACCACATTTTCCTCAGATTTCAAATTTATTTTTTCAAGTAACGATTATGGATTTGAAAAAGGCGTGAAAAAATTCAGATGAATAATGAATTTAGTCCTCAAATGTTGATTTGTGATTTTTAATTTTTTTTTGTCTTCAATAAAAAAAAAAAAAATTATATTATAGCGGATGTATATTTTAAGTTTAGTAAATATACATACATATATATGATTAAAAAAAAAATGAAATTATCTGGTTATAAAATCATCATATTAATGATGATTGTAAGTTATATTTCGATAAGACGAAAAATATAAATTTTTAATAATTTAAATATCGTCTATCTTATCAATATTTAATTGTGGAACCTGAGTTTACAACAAGAAATAGAAATTTAATTGAAATTTTTATTTAAAAAAAAAAAAAAAAAAACCTGATCGAAAAATAATACAGAATTTATCTTACTTCAATGTAAGAACAGTAAGAATTGAAAGGCATAAAGACAATTCGATTTTATTATCTTTTTTTGGGAAAAATAAACCTATATAAATGGGTGATATGTTTAGTAAAATTCTTCTATATATATTGATATATAAAAGTTAAATCATCAAAAAACAAACAGGAAACTTAAGGGGGTTTGGTGAATTATACAAATCATTTAACATGTGGAGGGCCATGATTTATATTCCTGAATATGACAAAAATTTTAATAAACAGTAAAAATATTTGAATTCAAACGACTTTAAATACTTTTATTTTTTCTGTTTTCTTTGAAAAACTTTTAAAATTTTCTTTCTTCCTTCCTTTCCTTTCTTTTTCAAAAAATTTCTTTTTTTTCTTAATTTCTTTCTTTTTTTTTTTTTACATTATTTAAAAGCAAAAATAAAGAACGGAAGAATTTTCGTTAAACAATTTTAGTGTTTGGAAACGATAAAATTTTCCATCGTTTAAAAAATTTTTTTCTTGGTTTTATTTCTATATTTTCTGAAAATGAAAGGGTTTCGCTCCTATAACATCCTGATATTGTAAAATGTGTGTGTCTGTTTATCATGTTCACCCAGTCGTAAATGTGTGTGTGTGTGACAGGTGTCAAAGGGATGGTAATAGAAAAACAGAACAGATGATGCATTCAAACATAGAAATTACAAATATTAAAATGATTTAAAAGCTCAAAAAAATTTGATATAAATAAAATGTAAATATTCCCAACTCCCATATCTTAATATTGGAAATAAAATAATCTATTTTATTAATTCAATAACACAAGATTAGATATAGTTAAATATATTATATTTTCTATATATATTTTTTTAGTGGGATCATATAGAAAGGCGCATAAATAAATTAGGAATTAAATTATGAAATTTAAAATTGGCTCCATTATGATGTCAGCCAATAAGTTAGAATAGATGATTAATGTAGGGAATTGCATATAAAAAAAACAAGATGATTCTGATTATCGTACTAAAATGTAAAAATTTCAATCTCATAGATAAACAAAATATACTAATATCGAATTTGTTATTATATATATATATATATATATATATATATATATATATATATATATATATATATATATATTTCAATATAAAACTATAGTTCCTAACTAAAAAAGGACCTTTTTTGGCTTGTAAATGATATCGGGATGTGAAGGAACAAATATAGATTAATAAAATCCAGGATCTTAAGATCCATATTTTAGAAAAAAACAAAAATTTGTTAAATATCAATATAAAAATAAAAATTCCCAATGCCAGGTTAGGAAAATAATAAAAAAAGATTTGGTCAAATCTAAAACACGTCCATAAATAGATATTAAAAAAAGTCATATCTTTTTTTTCAGATATGAATATCCCATCATTGATAAACGGAACACTTCCCAGTTTTTTTTATTTATTCGTCGAATAGTCTTTTGTAACCTAGTCTTCTCTTTTATTTTTAAACCATAAAACTATATATTTTATTTTTTTTAATAACTTTTAAATTTTATATTTATGGACATATATCAGGTCATCCCATAAGTTCTGTCCGAATTTTGAATAAAGAAAACAAGTGACCAAATGTTACATTTAATTACAGATTCAATCAACAATGTATTTTCCCTGACTTCCTTCCATCTATTAACAAGCTGACTAATTCCATTACTGTAAAAAAAAAATTTTGACTTTGATTCGAAGAACTCACAAATGTCAGTTTTAACCTCTTCCTGTGTTACAAAAGCTGTTTCTTCCAAATGATTCTGTAAGCTACGAAACAAATGGTAGTCTGAAGGAGCAAGATCGGGAGAATAAGGTGGATGAGGAATTTTCTCCCAACCAAGTTCTTCGA